GCAATAACCTTAACAGTTAGACCATACCCTTTAGGAGGACATGTACAAAGTGTCACAAGTCGACCTGTCAGTGTTGTGGAAGTGACTTTCACCTTCATAGGTCATGGACAAAATGTCACCAGTCGACCTGTCATTATTGTGGAAGTGACCTTCACCTTCATAGGTCATGGACAAAGTGTCACCAGTCGACCTGTCAGTATTGTGGAAGTGACCTTCACCTTCATAGGTCATGGACAAAGTGTCACCAGTCGACCTGTCAGTATTGTGGAAGTGAACTTCACCTTCATAGGTCATGGACAAAGTGTCACCAGTCGACCTGTCAGTATTGTGAACGTGACCTTCACCTTCATAGGTCATGGACAAAGTGTCACCAGTCGACCTGTCAGTATTGTGGAAGTGACCTTCACCTTCATAGGTCATGGACAAAATGTCACCAGTCTACCTGACAGTATTGTGGAAGTGACCTTCACCTTCATAGGTCATGGACAAAGTATCACCAGTCGACCTGTCAGTATTGTGGAAGTGACCTTCACCTTCATAGGTCAGGGACAAAGTTTCATCAGTCAAAATGCAATTGTGAATGTGACCTTCACCCAAACATACCCTACGTTTGTTTGTTTGTGTTGTTTAATGCCACACTCAGCAATATTCCAACTATTTGACGGCGGTCTGTAAATAATAGACCCTGGACCAGACAATCCAGTGATTTGTATCCTGAGCATCGATCTACTCAATTGGGATACGATGACATGCATCAACCACCCAATCCTGTTAGTCACCTCTTACAAGCACAGTTGCCTCTTACCCAAGCATGGGTTGATAAAGACTATTCTACCCCGATCATCATGGGTCCGACACTACGCTTAAAGAGGACAGTGACAAAGTGTCACAGTCTACTTTTAATTATTGTGAAGGACTTAGGTGACCTAAACCTTCAACATTCACAAATCTTCTTCAGTGAAAAGTTTAAAAGAAGCCAGGACTACATAAGACCTATGTTAGTTAATAATGTAACTGTTAAAATTGTAAATTATTACAATACAGGGAATAACCTGTCATCAAAGCAATGGCTGGAAAACACAGTCCCCCTGCATGCAGCGTCAAACAGAGCAAGGCTAGGTTCTCTTAAAGTGAGTGAGTTGGGTTTAATGCCAACAGTATTCCAGTTACATCATTTCAGCGTGACATAGGAGGAAAGCATGTGTGATGCAGGTCTCAGACTTTAACCACTTTGGAGAAACCCACGAGCACAGGTGTGGTGCTGACAAATCTAGAAACGTACCGGTAATCGGGGTGAACTTGAATTTGAACCCACAATCGTAGGTTTGGGGCATACCCAAGGGAAGCAACTCTGTATAGCGACTTGCAGTGCCTTAGAAGACTGGGCCAAGCGTGGCCCCTTGTTCTCTTAAACAACAACTACTTTAGGATATGAAATAAATCTATACTGCCAATGACCTTAAACAAAGGCCAATGAAAAAATCTTACCATTATAAAATTCCACCAAATGTACAAATTTCATCAACACTTTACATAACTTCAAAATCTAATAAGACTTAAAATAATACATTAAAAAAGAATTCCCCAAAGAAATTAAGAAGACAGCAAATGTGCCATCCCAAGTGTGTATTCAATGTAACAACAAAAGTTACTCATTAAAGTGATGACTGATTCCACCACTTCAACAAACAGAAACACAGAATTACAGAACCACGACATTCAAAGCATTTGGCACTGTAGCTCACCTCACTATTTGGAGTGAGTGAATCAGGGAGTTGTGTTTTACATCAAAGTCAAAATGTTAAATATTGCAAAATACAGAAGATATGTATCGAGTTCCAGAACTTTATTAACAAACATGACCACATGAAAAATCACATTCGAACCTCTTGGACAAAATGGTGGAAACAAGCATGTGAAGATTCAGTATCGTTGGTCAAGTGGTTTCTGAGGAGATGATGTTTACCATTACCAGGGATGTGAGCAGGTGGGGCATCCCCCACCCCACACCCCACACCCCACACCCCACACCCAGAATTTTTTTAAACATTTGTGTGCATTTTAAGCAATTTTGTGCAGTTTGTGCAGTAATAAGTCAATGACAAAAGTCAAAGAAGTCAAACAAACAAAAATGGCGGATGCAGTAAAATTTCAAATACCCGCCGGGTCTGGGAGCAATACTGCCATAAACTTCACCCTCATCCCTCTGACACAAGGACAACTGTCACAATGTCTGACCCTTTCCCCTTGTTGAAGAATATTGAAAAAAATTCACCTTGGTCTTACTTACCTTTTGTTGAAAAAAACAAAACTCCATTGAAAACATAAGACATTAATACAACATATATCCCTGTTTTCGATAATATTTTTCTGAGTGTTTTTAAAAAATATTTTTACGCGGAAGATGATTTTTCCGAGGACTACAGTTTTAAAAAACGTGATTTTCTGCGTTTCCACGGAGATTTCACATCCTTGCATTACAGTGCAAGGGAAATGCACTACAAGAGAGAACTGAGGAGCAAGGTCAAAGTGCAAAGGTCAAATCAATGTTAAAATTTACTGAATCTCAAAAAATGGTACATATATGTTAAGCCCTACTACTAACAACAAATATACCAAATTTCATCACATGTCAACAACAAAAAGTAATGGCCATAAATAACTTTTTCAATATGGCTACTGTGACGGCCACATTGAAAATAGGATTGAAACCTCTTGAATTTATTTCTGTATAGATACAAGATGATACAGTTGCTGAAATAAAATACTTACTATTCGCTTAATGACTCCTGGCGTTTTTTGTAAGTCATATATCGCAAAATGTGTTGTAATTAGCGTTTCAAGTTCACTACTAAAAATAGTCTCTACGAACATGTGTCTACAGCTAGCTTTCCCATTTGAACGTGCTCTGAAATATTTGTCAGGCTTCCAAGTGATATGACGTAAATGTGGGTATCATGATACATATTGTATCAAACCTATGTATCGGGATACACATCGTATCGTGACCTTGCTGTATCGTTTCACCCCTATGTCAGGCATACAGGTCAGAACAGAAGCTCATAAACTTCAACAAGTCCTTGTTAACTTAAGCTTTCAGGTGAGCTAAAACTGCATGTGTCTACTTACTGAATGCCCTTCACATTTTCATATTAACAGTGACTTTGACCTAATACGGCAGTTACTCAGAGAGGATAATCTAATGAAACTAAAGTACAGCTAGGTCAATATGAGGTCGCTCAAACAGCTCTGGATTCCCAGCAGGTGACATCACAGACATCATCCATTATCCAGTGTCTCATAGCGACTATGCTTGTCGTAAGAGGCGACTAACGGGATCGGGTGGTCAGACTCGCTGACTTAGTTGATGCATTTCATCGTATCCCAATGGCGCGGATCGATGCTCATGATGTACATCACTGGATTGTCTGGTCTGGACTTGATTATGTACAGACCACTGTCATATAGCTTGAATATTGCTGAGTGATGCGTTAAACAACAAACAAACAATGTCTCATATCTTTAAAGTTCACTTTAATCAGTGTTTCTAATTCAGGTGGATTAATTGTGCATAAATGTTTGAAGTAGGAACGGTGAGGTGAAATGGGGTTTAATGTCACCTTTAGGATGAGTGAGTGAGTGAGTATGGCTTTACGCCGCTTTTAGCAATATTCCAGCAATATCACAGCGGGGGACACCAGAAATGGGCTTCACACATTGTACCCATGTCGGGAATCGAACCCGGGTCTTCGGCGTGACGAGCGAACGCTTTAACCACTAGGCTACCCAACCACCCCTTTAGGATGAATGCACTTATATTTTGATGTGTGGTGCATGTGCGTGCGTGTGTGCCTGCTTCTCGTAGTCCGGAAGAATGCTGATTTAATAGTGCTAGCCCACTGTGATACCATGTAACACTTTAACATGAATGCCCCACTCAGACACAGTATACTGACAACGAGCTGACTAGTCCTTGTTTTAGCCCCTTCATGCTGAGCGCCAGGCAGGGTAACAACAAGTATCATCTTCACTCTTCCACTCTCTGGGTGGACTCTCTACCACTAGACCACAGAAGTGGTGTCCAGGGGGACACTCTACCACCAGACCACGGAGGCGGTCTTCAGGCACACACTCTACCACGGCAGCGGTCTCCAGGCACACACCCAACCACCAGACCACGGGAGCGGTTTCCGGACAGACGCCCCAGCCACTAGACCACAGAGGCAGTCTCCGGGCGGACATCCCACCCACTAGACCACAGAGGCAGTCTCCTGGGCGGACGCCCCACCCACTAGACCACAGAGGCAGTCTCTGGGTGGACGCCCCACCCACTAGACCATAGAGGCAGTCTCCGGGCGGACGCCCCACCCACTAGACCACAGAGGCAGTCTCCAGACGGACGCCCCACCCACTAGACCACAGAGGCAGTCTCCGGGCGGATGCCCCATCCACTAGACCACTGAGGCAGTCTCCGGGTGGACGCTCTACCCACTAGACCACAGAGGCAGTCTCCGGGCGGATGCCCCATCCACTAGACCACTGAGGCAGTCTCCAGGCGGACGCTCTACCCACTAGACCACAGAGGCAGTCTCCGGGCGGACGCCCCACCCACTAGACCACAGAGGCAGTCTCCGGGCGGAAGCCCCACCCACTAGACCACAGAGGCGGTCTCCGGGCGGACGCCCCACCCACTAGACCAAAGAGGCAGTCTCCGGGCGGATGCCCCATCCACAAGACCACTGAGGCAGTCTCCGGGCGGACGCCCCACCCACTAGACCACGAAGGTCGTCTCCGGGCGGACGCCCCACCCACTAGACCACAGAGGTGGTCTCCCAGCAGACGCTCCACCCACTAGACCACTGAGGTGGTCTCTGGGCAGGCGCTCTTTCACTAGACCATGAAGGCAGTATCCGGGCGGAATCTCTACCGCTGGAGCACAGAGGCGGTCCTAGAAGTAGGAGGCAAGTTTGTGACAGCAAAGTCAGTGATGGCAAACTCACCCGTGTAGAGTTGGTGACAGCGTAGTTGTAAGGCTCCGTGGGGCTGAAGTCGATGTCTGTGATGGCACCATATTCCTTCTTGGTAATTGGAACCTAAACACAGTACCAGTCACAATAAAAGCATCCTCAATGACACCACATTAACAAGAGATTTATTATCATGAAAACTCTCTGCCAGAGGGTTTTGTACATCTCCTGATTAGCAGGGCCCAATTAGTATATTTTATTAGCCTGTACTATGTTATACCTGTACATAAAACATTAAATACTGATAAAACCACAATTTCTATCCTATACTCACCGCCAAAAGAAACGTGAATACCATACATGTTGGTTAATATTTGAAAACTTACTCATATTCAGGAAATATTAGATTGATTCGCTGCAGATCAGACGCTCCTAAACACATCACAAGTGACATCATACATCCATGCACAGTTTGTCTTGTACAGGATTAACGTGTAAAGTTTGAAAATCACATGAATAAAGACACTCTGCGGTAACACTTGAGTAATTGTTACTTTTTCATTAATTGGTACACATGGGAACATCTCTTATCGTACATACTTCTCTATATATTTCTATGGTTCTCGGTTCTTTTGGCGGTGAGTATATATGATAAGTAACGAAAAAGAGGAGCTGTATTGTCTTCCTTTTCTAAAAAATGACTAAAGTAAAGAATTTTCACAATCTTTCAATACCAGCACTTTTTTTTCATCTACCACTGGTCGTAAATATAAAGAAAGATAAAACTTAATGTTTTCATATGCACCTCTTCACCCACCTGAATACATATCACATTAGAAAATAACACCAAATAATGTGTAATGGCCTATGAGGGGGTTGGAAGGATACTGACTAGGGCTAGGATGAGTCCAAATTTACTACCCGAGTACCAAACACCCGACCCTACCCGACCCCATATCACCCAATCCTACCCAAACACCCTATCACCCAACCCTACCCGACCCCCTATCACCCAATCCTACCCAAACACCCTATCACCCGACCCTACCCGACCCCCTATCACCCAATCCTACCCAAACACCCTATTACCCGACCCTACCCGACCCCTTATCACCCAATCCTACCCAAACACCCGACCCTACCCGACCCCCTATCACCCAATCCTACCCAAACACCCTATCACCCAACCCAACCCTACCCGACCCCCTATCACCCAATCCTACCCAAACACCCTATCACCCGACCCTACCCGACCCCCTATCACCCAATCCTACCCAAACACCCTATCACCCAACCCTACCCGACCCCCTATCACCCAATCCTTCCCAAACACCCTATCACCCGACCCTACCCGGATACCCACCGTAGATCTCAAGAGATGAGTACAAAATGTTTGATCGGGAATGGTTGGACCATAGCCCTGGAAAAATGTATTTAGATGTACACATATAAGTTAAAATATCTGGTCATGCATTTAGATACACGTGTCAAACGATTTGGTCATGCATACACTGAAGTTGATGGAAGTTTTATCTTTATTCAAACATATAAAGTACCCACCCGACCCAAGTACTCATCCCAGCCCTAATCTTGACCCATTGTTAAAAGGGGGGGGATGACTGTGTTAACTGAATTTAATGCAATCTCATTAAAATCAGACCTCAGTCCTCGCTACCCCTAAACAAAGATCTGAGGACATCCCATTAGGGGTCACGTCAGAACGACCTTTCATCCGACCAATCAGAGCATCGCTTACCAGATTATGAAAGTGACAGTCGGAATGTGATTTCTGATCATGCAGTCTCGAAAACTTTAACTCCGAACGATAGTTACGAGTTTTACAACTGTATCCATACAATCTAGACCATCTATTGGCCATTCCAGAATGTTCTTTTGTTCAGGTTTCAAATTTGTAATTGAGAATTTGTCAAAATAAGTTTCAAAGTGTAGTCGCCAATTTGAAATTAGTGCCGTAAAGCCCGAGAAAGCTGCCTTCTGATTGGTCATTCTATTGGCCGGTCAAAGTTCGCGCAAGGTCGGTCTGACGTGACTTGTAATTGGATGTTCTCAGATCTTTGTTTAGCGGAAGCAAAAACTAAGATCTGATTTTAATGAGATTGGTATTTAATGCTACTTATGTCAATATGTTAACACGCCGTTGAACGTGTAGGGTTCTACACTGCGATCAGCAATATCACAGCCAGGCATACTAAGAATCGATAATGGGTATTCCAAGTGAAAAGCAAACACTATGACCACTAAGCTACAACACCGGCCCTGTTGTGGTGCTGAGCAACAAACAAACAAAATGTTACACAAAAAACTGTTCAGAATTCATGACATTGTTTATCTTAATTTGTTCAGTGCTGACAAAATCATATGGAAGTACTGGAAAGTGGAATGTTTGTTTATTGTTTGTTTGTTGTTTAATGCCTCACTCAGCAATATTCCAGCTATATGACAGCAGTCTGTAAATAATCGAGTCTGGACAAGACAATCCAGTAATTGAGTGAGTGAGTGAGTGAGTTCGGTTTTACGCCACTTTTAGCAATATTCCAGCAATATCACGGCAGGGGACACCAGAAATGGGCTTCACCAATTGTACCCATGACGGGAATCGAACCCGGACCTTCGGCGTGACGAGCTAACGCTTTAACCACTAGGCTACCCGACCGCCCCTTCCAGTAATTGACATGAGCACTGATCAGTTGGGATCGATGACATGCATCAATCAAGTCAGCAAGTCTGACCACCTGATCCCATTAGTTGCCTCTTACGACAAGCATAGTCACCTTTTAAGGCAAGCATGGGTTGCTGAAGACCCATTCTACTCCGGATCTTCACGGGTCAGAAAGTGGAATGCCATCATTGAATTGCCCAACAGCTTCAAAACAGTTTGACATAAGGAAACTTGTGTTTTAATGGGTTACTCGTTAGTGATAAAAAAAAAATCAATACCAATTTTAACTCCCATCAGAAAACAGAATTTTTTTAGTGGTCATTTCTTTCATTAAGGGCAACTAAACATACTGAACCTGACTGAACTGTAATCAGGCATGCTTCAGTAAAGGTTACTAGTTTACAAAGCTTGAGGTAAATGTATTATTGATTTATATGCTGTCAGTAAGTCAGCCACCTTGACAAAACTATGGACACACTAACATGATACAATTGCAATGTACAATCTAAATAATTTCACACAATAACTTTTAACAGAACTTCTTGTGGGGGTGAGTGAGTATGGTTATACGCCACTTTAAGCAATATTCCAGCACACCCGAAATGGGCTTCACACATTGTACCCATGTCGGGAATCGAACCCGGGTCTTCGGCGTGACGCACGAACGCTAGGCTAACCGACCATCCACCTTATGGGGGGTTAAGTGAGTTGGGATAAATGCCCACTCCCCCATAAGAAGTGCTGTCGAAAGTTATTTTGTGAAAATATTAATATGATGCAGATCTCAGATCTTTCTCACTTTGATGAAAACCCATGAGGACGGGTATGGTGCTGACAAACCTAGAGTGAGTGAGTGAGTTGGATTTAACGCCGCTTTTAACAGTATTCCAGTTATATCGCGGCGTGTCAGCTTAATGTGGGAGGAAAGCCTGAAGTGATGCAGGTCTCAGACGTTTACCACTTCGGTGAAACACACGAGCACGGGTATGGTGCTGACAAACCTAGAAACATAATGAGGGCGAACCGGGATTCGAACCCACAATCATAGGTTTCTGGCGTGTCCAAGGGACGCAACTCTGCACAGCGAATTGCGGCGCCTTAGACGGCTGGGCCACCTGTGCCCCCTGACAAACCTAGAAACATAATCAAGGGACACACAGCAAAATTGCGGTGCCTGAGACAACTGAGCCATCCATGCCACTACACCACTTTGAGTGAGTGAGTGAGTTGGGTTTCCCTCCGCTTTTAGCAATATTCCAGCAATATCACGGCGGGGAACACCAGAATTCGGCTTCATTCATTGCACCCATGTCAGGAATCGAAACCCGGGTCTTTGGCATGATGAGCAAATGCATTAACCACTAGGCTACCCAACCGCCCCTACACCACTTAAAACATCATTTCAGTCATATAGTGGCAGATCAGCATAACATGGAAGAATGACCAAAAATATGCAGGTGGTAGACACCTAACATAACATTCCCATACAGATATAAAGATAACAGACAAAGAATGTTAACTTGTTTTAATCTGTGGATCCTAGACTATCTAAGGCATATAACTCTTTCTGGAGACAACTTGGCCACCCATGCAATTACAGAAGCATCTGGCAATACACTAGCAATGTGCATTTGAGGAGAATTAATGGTTAGCCTTAACATAACAGTACTGGTGAGTTAAGGACAGTGTGTTGACTGTGTAATTTGAATAATTTCAAAACACTTAAATTATTATCCATTATGTTTTTCAAAACACTACATCTAAATATACAATATAACAGTTACAGCATCAGATATAATTGAATGAAATAATTATCATATATATATCGATAAGCATTTCTTGGCCTAGGCTAGAAAATGATCTGAAATTCACTTGCTGAGAGGGGTCCATGGGGAACTGCAGCTGACTTAAATCTAGAACAATATGTATGATGATTAATTTGTTAATCCAATTAGATGTCAACCTCGGAAACTGTCTGTGATTATATTCGGACAAGCCAGATCTATGTTACAGTCGAAATTGTTATTTTGATAAGAAATCGGGACATTGAGTGTAAAAACGTCTCTAAACTGTATCAACCATTGAAAATCATGTTTCATGCCAATGATTTTATAGCAGACTCATTTCAGTTATGATTTATGGATTTTATCGCGTCAATATAACAGGTACTTCAAACACCATTATGAAACATCATCTGCAACTTAGAAGGAGAATAACAACGTGTTCAAATAGAGTTTCTTTAACGCATATTTTAAAGTTTGCCTGTTGATACACACGAAAACAAATTGTCAATTTCATGTAAACAAAACCACGTGGGTAAGGGATCGCTGCTACAAAATCATGTTTTTACCGACACAGAACACTTTTAAGGATCAATAACGTTACACATATTTTCAGTGGGATTTGGGGAAAAGCTATACCTCTAATTGTTTCCAATATATGTTATCAGAGGTTTCTTTTTCAGTAATACGTGGATATGTTTTGATGGATGTCTTCTTGTAGGAGGTCGCCATCTTGAATAATCTCGAACCACTGTTGATTGTTTTCAGCTCAAAAGGAAAGGATTTTAACACTGATAAAAATACCTAAGGTGTATGTCATCATAGATAAGATCATATTTGAAACACCATTTACTAATAATAAGTTAGTATATGCATCTGATGCCTTTAAAGACCATTATCCTCTTTCGGTTTGAGATAAACTAGTATCGCATTGACGATGCGCGTCCGCCCCTGCGCACTTCAGAAATGTTGTTAGACAAGCGTCTAGTTTAGTGTTGGCGATGGACTAATCGGAAATCTTCGCTGCTTGGTCGGCATTTGTCGAGAGGTTCACGTGACTAAACTTCTGCATAAATTAATTCGCTATCGGGATAGGATTATTTGATAAAGTGCGCTACCAAAATTGCCCCAAGCACCTTCGACGAGTTGTGTGTGAAAGGACGCTCTTAGTCGTGTTAGAAACTGTCTGTTGGAAAACAGACTCAAGCAGTTATGTCACAGCCCGAGAACAACACAGAAGAAAACATGGTAAGTTACAGCGTGACTTCTAAGGCCGCTGTCAAAATTCGTCTGCTAGGTTTTTATCTCAGGATATTCGCTTTTGGGACTTTTCTCACAATTAACTCGCGTTTCTTTCAGTGTGTGTATGTCATTGTGTAACACCAATATTAAAAAAAAGAAGTGAAGTTTACTGGTGCATTACTTTTACAACTTTTTACTTGCTTTTAATGAAAGTTTGTGCATTTATTATTCTTTTCTCATACTTCATACTTGGACTTAGGTTTTATATGGAATATTTTTTTTAAATTGTAAATATTTTTAGTTTTTGCGTCTTGTTTTTTTTACGTCAGTTAAGAAATGTCTGTGTCTTTAAATATATATATAAACATTGAATGATATTGTTTTTAAAAGATTAATAGACACCATGGTCTTGCTTTCCTTTGGTATTTGTATTTTCGGATTTACTTCAGTTGTTTGTTTGTTTTTTGTGTACTTGTCTTTCTTGTAATTTACTTATTTTGTACTTGTTTCTCTCAGTCTACTGAAGATTTGCAGACCCCAGGAACTGATCCTGAGTCCGACAACTTCAGTGAGAATGGCGAAGACAATGAGTTGAGTGCTGAAAAACTCGATCCTGCCGATAGGGAATTATATGAAAAATTGAAGCAACAAGAAAGAGAGGAAAGGGAAGAAATTGAAAGAGAACTAAAAGCTCATGAAGAAGCATTATCGAGACACCAGGAGGAGCTCCGAGCACGAGAAAAAGAACTTCGTTTGGCTCAGGAACGCATGAGACAGCGAGAGCAGGACATTCGTACCAAACATACTGATGATTTTCGAGTAGTACACCCTCATCACAGTCTTCATCACCCCCACCCGGCCCACGCCTCGTCCCCACGGGACATCAAACTGGAAACCCACTCCATACGTGCACAGAATCACAGTCCCTTCACAGCCCAGACCTCCCCCGATAGATTCCCACGGAACACCCAGCCTCCCTCAGTTGGAGGGATGCACACCCCTCCCGATGTGGGTGAGGGTCGAACCCATCACTGGACCTTCGAAGAGCAGTTCAAACAGGTCAGTGCGGTACGGATCTTTTTATTGTCAATCTTTGAAAACCTCTAATTGTCACATTAAAAGTAAAGAAGTTTCACTTCAATGTTCCATATGTTGATATTTATATATTTGTACGGTACGGCTAGATTTCAATATTTTCTTATGCCATGCCATATCTTGTATATTACGAATTATTATCTGTTATCACTGAGATATCAGAAAATTATTTTCTTATCATAATCACAGTAATCTCCCATGTCTATCAAGCCAGCCACCCAGAGAGTCTGGCTAAACCTGCAGGTTATACCGACTCACGTTTTAAACGAAATATTTCTGAAGTTCATTATATCACATACATCGAACTGAAACCCCATGTCATTGGTTAATTCTCTTAATTCTTAAAGGACGTTTCTGTTGAATATTATGACTGCAATTAAAACGTTACACAATATATCCGTTTTATTAAATACTACACATATTAATCCTCTTGATCATATGATAGGGTTGTAAAATTATCATAATATAGGCAACTGGGTTGTAAAATATGTAGTCAACCTTGTTTTAATCCGCCACAATTTGTTTCAGTCATATTTAAAGGAAAAGTGAACGTGATTAAAACTGAATAGTTTCAAAGAACAACTTTCCACTAATAATTGCATTCGTTGATAATACTATTTTGATGATTTAACGGCATCTGTTCTAATAACGAAAATATATGTAACTTTTATCAATTGTGTTAATAAAGCGAAGAGGGTGTACTTCTTAAGTCGGTTTCATATCAATAATGAACAATTATATATACCCTTACGATCAATTTAATACTGAAAAAAGTCCTCGTTGTGTAATCTTTTAAAAAAAGGTCTTATGATAGCTGTGCGTAAAATACATGCAGCAACAGATGCATATTTATATTTCGGATTATTGTTTTGAATCTTAAATAAACAACAGTTTTATAGTTATACTACATATATACCATGTTCACCCTCGTGCAATTAGAATAGCTTCATCTCCGTGGTAGGTGAAAAAACACCGTCGTATGCAGCTGCGCTTTTTGCTGATAAGGTAAATAAACCGCGGTGAGTTGACGTGGAGATTTGTGTACTCTCAAGTTGTAAGATAACCCATCTTTCTATAACACATGTAATATGGTGAAAACTAATATACAACGAAAGCGATTTGTATTTATATAAACCAGATATATACGTTAATATTGTTACTATCTACCGGCGGAAATCCACCTTGGTACAGCCATCAATAAGGTTGTCTTGAAATCGTATAGATCAAACAGGTTATTCTTTGAACGTGCATATTTTACTATGGTTGTATCATCCACGATTTACAGACGTTTGACTCTTATGTTTACGTTTCGCTCGGGGTATATAATATCGATTAATTGTGTAGCGTACCGTGGACAGGGCTATGAGAATCTCCGGTGATTGTATACATCTTGATCACTGTCATTAAGATTTCAGTGAATAAGTCCAAGCGCAATCCGTACAATACTATCGATCACCGACTAAATAGCTCTTTGGTTCATGTCGCCAGAAAGACTTTCCTTTTTTCTTTTTATTTCTAAAAGCCAGTGGTTTGTTCTCCTTAAAGTTAGTTCTTCTTGAGCTCATTAAAAATTCACTTGATTTCTGTATATCGGTGCCCAGGGAGTGAGAAATCAAGCCTCGTGAAGCGATTGAGAGAATAAACTATTTGCTTCACCTTCGTTCATTGTTCATTTGATTTCATGTTCCAATAAGAATTTGCGCAGAAAAGTGAGATTAAGATGAAAGTTTGATGAAGGCCGATGTAGAGGCAGACATCAGTTGTCTTGCATTATCCATACAAAAAGACTTAAGATCTATAAACGGTTATAAACCATTGGACTGAACTCAATCGCTGAGTGCCCTGGCTCCGCTCTGCGATAGAATCTTATTAATTATGTATAAGATGAAACTATGGATCATCTGTTTTTTCTTATACCGTTGCGTTACTTAACAATGTTTTATCGTTCGACAAAAGACGAGCGTCGTCAGTTGAGTGTATTGTACCAGTTTTCTTTTCACGTTTCGTCCATTGTGAACATGGATCATATTGTTTATCGTAATTAAGAGAGCGAGTGGTGACGTAATGAAAGTACTGTACATCCTTGTTAATTGCTATGGTAGCCTCGCGGGAGACAGTCAGATCTATTAACATGGCTTTGTCACTTTCGCTGTGTTGATATAAATCAGGCACAAGCAACGATGGATAAAAGCTATACCAACAACGACCGAGGGTGTTTAATTAATGAAGTCATTCTTAACTGAAAGCGCCGGTCTCGCTAATTGATTGAAAAGACCGTCTTGTTATACTTTATTTTCTCCTATTTATAGGCAGAGATGCCCTGAATGTTTAATGTATCGAAATTGTGAGAAATTCTATCAAAACGCACTTTTCACTTGGGTGATAATTGGCCGACAATTGGTCTTGACCAAATCTACGTTGACAGGTTGAGTTGTGCCTTGGGGCGAGTGTTTATATATAAACCAACAACTACAATAATTCACACTTTCAATTCGAGTGTAACTGTAGTGAATTTAATCGCAATAATGGCAATGTTTGGACCAGGATGCGATATTAACACGTCGTCGATGTACATTAATGTGAATCTCGTGCAAACATTCTGTTTCCTTGCAAACTTGCTACATTCGACTTGATATGAATGTTATAATTATAAATAACAGACGATGGACTGACCCAGGGCATTTGGATTCCCTTAAAGCAGGGCCGCAAAATAATCGCTGGGAAAACGGTATTGAAAGAAAACTTGTGTCAATATTTGTGATTCTGTGAATGTATTTATATCAAGAAATATAGCTATACGGACACCAATGACCTCTCCAGCTGTGCGATCTTGCTTATGTAGACCAGCATTGTCGGATACATCTCGTAGTTAATACAAGCACGATTTCTTTTCAGTAACTTTAATCGAGAGCATCATGTTGTTTATTCACATACTCTTTTTTATAAGGGATCTGTGCTAAATTGAAAAGGGCTTCGCTTTGATGATATCAAGGGGATGGAATCCGGAAAGCTAATTTTAACAAATTTATTCCCCCCTAAGCTTGCGTTTCGAATGGCTTAGACATTATTAAAGAAGTTTATATATTAAAGTGTTATAAGAACACGTTTGTTGTTGTCAAGTGTTTGGTAACACCAGTCTGGGGAATCCTTGAGACCATACAGAGTAATTTATGCAATTTCAGTTTAATCCTGTTCTGCAAATAGAATGTAGCAGACACTTAATGAGAGAAGTTGTGTGGGTTAAAATATTTATAGTGGTTTAATATGGAGGGGTTGAAACAAAACGCCTTTCTTCCCTCGCTCCTCGACCAGCTGACAAGAATTAATTTGCTGGGAATTGACGGAATCCGCCACATTGAGACAGACGCAGCCCTCGCTTCACAACGTGTAATTGTAATTAACAAACTCCACTCGGATTTGGCCTGAAAGGGGTCAGAAGTGAAAGATTAGCCCCATGACCTCAGACCTAAACCTCCTATCACACATCAATCACAACATGTTGCTTCAATCGCCCTATATTAAACCCAGATGGGACAATTACGAGGACGCATAATGTGATTTCCTGCTTAATTTAGGAATCAAATCATAAGACCGCATCGTAGTCCCTGTGGTCCCAGGATGCATTGCGTCGTGTTTGGGATAGCTGCGAATTTTGATATCGCGAGTGAAGGAGACTTTATGGCTCATTTTACATCATAAGCATCTCTCCAGCTGGCCAGGTCTTTATGCGAGGTTTTATATCGTATGCTTATCGCTAAATTGATACTCAATTTCATATTTTTATCTCGACATAGCCTTCTCATGTCCCAAGTGGAATTACACGCTATCTACAAATAACTAAAAGCATTCTCTCTTTATTATCATCGCGCTGTTTCCTATAATGACCTTTTCTCTGTCGCCGGCCTATAAGAGCCGTTGCTTTGTCCTCGAAGTGCCCGGTCATTTGAACTTCTTTATAGGCAGTAATAGTGATCTGATTCCATTTGTCAGGCCTTTTGCTTTGCCTGAAAATGTGAGAAATCAACAAAGAATAAGAGAACAAACAGGCTGTCATCCTATTCAAATCGGTTTGTGATTTTTGCCCTATGTTTTGAAGGCCTGCTAAACTGGCACGACGGGCCACCGCAAGCAGGCGCATGTTTACCTTCTTGGAAGGAACGTGTCGTTAGACTCCTCACCCCCCGCCGGAGTCCCCGGGACGGCATCCCCGACACCATTCAGCGTTTCCCCGCCAACTTATTCTGCTAGAATCAAGTCACAATCTCATTGCTGGGGCAGGAGGGGCCAGGGTTCTAATATCACGTGATCGCCTCGGTCTATCCCGGACCTATCCTTTAATTTGGCACCAATATGCCATATATTCTCCCCACACCTCTATATGCAATACAGTATCACCACACCTCTATATGCCATACAGTATCCCACACCTCTATATGGCATACAGTATCCCACACCTTTATATGCCATACAGTATCCCACACCTCTATATGCCATACAGTATCCCCACACCTCTATATGCCACACAGTATCCCACACCTCTGTATGCCATACAGTATCCCACACCTTTATATGCAATACAGTATCCCACACCTCTATATGCCATACAGTATCCCACACCTCTATATGCCATACTGTATCCCCACACCTTTCTATGCCATACAGTATCCCACATCTCTATATGCCATACAGTATCCCACACCTCTATATGCCATACAGTATCCCCACACCTCTATATGCCATACAGTATCCCCACACCTCTATATGCCATACAGTATCCCGACACCTCTATATGCCATACAGTATCCCACACCTCTATATGCCATACAGTATCCCGACACCTCTATATGCCATACAGTATCCCACACCTCTATATGCCATACAGTATCCCGACACCTCTATATGCCATACAGTATCCCCACACCTCTATATGTCATACAGTATCCCACACCTCTATATGTCATACAGTAACCCCG